CAGAACATTAAACAATGTTGTTGTTAGCTTTAACGCCCACTTATTCTCTTTGAGCTGCGAATCGTTATTCATTAAGTGCGAAAATCGGCAATATAAGCATTTATCTATTTACTTCATCTTTTCTTTTTTTCATAGAATAACTTGTCGTTCACATGGAAAGCTGGAGGAGGAACTCTTCAGTATCAATCCTTTACACGATCTGCTCGGCTGTTTTATCTCCTCGAGCATAGTGCTGGATGCTTTATTTGACTATTTTTTTCGCCAGCTTCAGCAGCTGTAAAATTCTGTTCAGCGACGTACAAATTCTCTTCGTGGAGATAGAAAACTCCCCAATTTACATAAAAATTGTCCTGAGCCCTTCCCTTTCTTTATAACTTCGTGAAAAGCCGTAAAATGTACTTGAAAAACCTCCAACCAATCAACTGAGTAACGAGCCTACTGAGTAAGTTCCAGGCTGGATTAAACTTTCGATGACAACGTGATTAAAAATGAGTCCTTAATTAAAATGTCGGTGTAGAATATTGTCATTTGATTGATTGCCTTGTTTTAATACGTGATCATCATCAGTAAACATCTGTTGCTGGGATATTTCTGGAGCCTTTTTCTCGTCATTTCGTCAATAGAAACAATGATAATTTCAATAATAGAAAAAAAAAAAGCTGACGTTTCGAGCGTTAGCCCTTCGTCAGAGCGATGGTGAAAACGTAAATTAGCCACCGCAAAGGGTAAAAAAGCTGACGTTTCGAGCGTTAGCCCTTCGCAATCGCTCTGACGAAGGCTAACACTAAATTACCTTTTATTTATATAGATAGATACGATACATAAGCTATGTTTTTCCGGCTTTGGTAGAATATAAGTGGCCTTAGTAGAGCTGCTGGCTGAAAACAAAACTGATCTCCTGGCACCGCAATATGTCAGCAAACGTGACAGCAACCATAAATGGAACACAGTCCATGTCGGGCTGCTTCAACCCCACAGCGACAAGAATTGGTGAAATCTTTGCCTTCTGTCTGCTATTTGTTGTGTCGCTGGCTGGAAATATCCTCATTGGAATTATTGTCTACAAGGAAAAAGCTCTGAGAACACCAATCAACATTTTGATTGTAAACATGGCAATCTCCGATCTGTTGTTCTCGATTATCCATTTTCCTGCACTTTTTGTAAGGTTAAACACGGCCAGCCACTGGCTGCCCAGCAGTCCACTTGGCCAAGCGTTGTGTAGACTAAAGTACTTCGCGTATCATGCCTCCAGTAATGTGTCCATTCAGAGCCTAGTTCTAATAGCAGTGGATCGATTTGTAGCTGTGGTATTTCCTCTCCGTCCCTCACTGATCAGTTCAAAGCGATGCAGGCTCTTCATTCTCGTAATTTGGGTCGTCGCCATGGCAGTCTCTTGCCCACAATTGTTTATGTGGAAAGTTGACGAGTATGCAGAAGGGCTGGTTTGTCAGCGGAGATGGAACGACATTCGATTAAGAGAGTCCTCATCGATTAAAAACTACACTCTGGTAACGATCATTGTATTCATCTATGTCCCTTTGGTTTTGATTGCCATACTTTACTTTTCCATTGCCGTAAGAATTAAATCGCAGCAGATTCCAGGTGAGCCTTCAGTAAACGCAAGAAAACAGCGCTTGAAGAGAGAAAGAAGTGTTCTGAAGATGTCCGTTGCCATCGTGTTCGTTTTTGCAGTATGTTGGGTGCCATTCAGTATCGTTTTCCTCCTATCCTCGTTTTCATCAGACAGCGCCATGATTTCATCTTGTGCCTTCCAATACTCTGTGCATATTGCCATTTTTCTGCTTGTATCATACTGCGCTGTAAACCCTTGTATCTGTTTCATATTCAGCGGTAATTATCGTCAAGGTCTTAAGAACCTCCTCGGCTGTTTCTCTACTAATCAAGCTGCCCTGACATAGTTGTCGCCCCAATTTTTTGCACACTGTTCAGTATTATTCGAAGAATCAAATTTGTTTCCCATGCCAACAGTTGGTTTCCCACATTTTTAATCGCTGTTTTTGTTTTTCTAACTTGTAAGGTCAAACCTTTTTGTAAACTCATGCATTTAGCATATCATATCGAAAATAACAATCAAGCTCTTACAAACATCGCTTTATTGCATCTAAAATGTTTGAAGTAGCACTCAGTGAAATTCAGCCAATAAATAGACGAGAGTATTACGATTTTTCCTTTTTTCCTCGTTTATCTATTTTCAGCTGTACATGAAAAAGGACAACATATTTACCGAGATGAACTGCGATCTCTATAGGATACGTTAAATCCAGTTGTTTCCCAAAACTTGTAAATAATATTTATTTAATACATTTACGTTAGTTTACCTTATAGCAAGAGAAACTTTGTTCAACGGTTAAAACCGTCTTTTGAATTCTGACTTAAGGATTTCGGTTGTATTGTGTACAGTTTGCGGTTAGTAAAGTTTTACACTCTTCCTGTAAAATAAAGAGGTTTCCAATCACTATGTGATAGAAAAAGAAAAAGTAAAATCTACTTGACATCTAATATTACAAATAAATATTATCAAGAAAACAATGGAAACTAGTTCTGCTTCTGCTTCAGCTTGAGATTGTTTGTTATCACGGTTATTCCTTTTTATGAAAAATTAGAGTTTTCGGGAAAAAAACCCTAATGGATCGAAAATTGCATCTCTTCCGCCCTGAATTCTAACGCGTACTGAGTTAATTTTAAAAACCTTTAGTCATATCTCTTTGCATTGAGAGTAAATGTGACAGAGTCCATTAGGTGGTCAACTGAATTTAAAAAATTTCTCATGAAAAAAACCGAACTTTTGACGTTCTTCTGGGAGGGACAAACCCTGGAGAAGAAGAGGGCGACCTAATGATGAGGACTGTAACTAAAAGTATATATGACCGTAAGCAAAGTACAGGCTCAGAACTTGTCTGACTCCTGTGAGCTTCATAACGTAGAGAGAGCCTAAAAAGCATCTGCACATTTTACTGCGCATGTCGAACTTGCTTGGGCTCATAATGGAAACCGTGTAGAGGGTAGCAAAGCTGTCTGACTCTCGTGAGTCTCATATATCTGCTTTAGTGTGTCTATTGAGAGCCTAGTTTTAATAGCATTCAATCGATTTGGAGCTGTATATTTTTCCCTCCGTCCCTAACTGATCAGTTCAAAGCTGTGTCGGTTCCTCATTCTTTTCACTTGGATCATCGCTATTCTTACCAGCACCTCGATGAAATAAGTTAACAAACGAAGCTATTTCCATGGTTTTTCTGTTTTTTCTATTTTTTCAGTTGGTAGTTGTTTTACGACCGCAATTAGTTATTACACTTTTGTTTTTGATTTTGTTTTATTGGGGGGAGGGTCTGTTTATTTTCAACTGAACATGCAGAATGAAAAATTACGTCACTGAGATAAACCGGATTTCCCTCAGACCTATTAGGTCCAATTATTTCACGAAACTTGGAAATAATCATCAATCGAAATGTCGGCTTTGAGAACTAACTTACTTAAATCCTATTTACAATTTACATTATGGCAAGTCAAACTTAGTTCATTGGTTCAAACCGTTGTTTGAACTCTGCTGCTTGTTTTCCGGTTCTACAGTGTTTATTCCCTTACCACCTGTAAATAAAGAGTTTCCGATCAGTTAGAGAGGAAATGAGCAAAAGTTTGATCGAAATGAAACCCAATACGAAAAATAAATGCAATCGACTCCCGATAACTTGAACCTTTAAGGAGAATTGAAGAAGGTTCCACTGAGTTACCGGGAGTTCGAGTTAACGGAAATTGAAAACAAGGGCTCGGGAATGAGGGCAAAACGGTGTTTACTGTTTTTCACTTATACAGAATAATTCAATTACAGAGAAGTCGAATGAAAACGGAACGCAAAATTATAAAATTACTCCGAGTTAGCGGGAGGCTCGAGTTATCGAGGGTTCTAACCGGAGATAAAATTTCTGTCAATGTTTGATGGAAATCCATCGGTTTTGGTTCGAGTTAACACGCGAGGTTCAAGTCAGCAGGGGAAGATTTATGAGTACATGCAGTCGTTTAAGGCAATGGGGATGGGAAAAAAGGGCTCCGATTTGACCCATGTTTTCTATAATCTCCCAAAATATATTTAATAAAATTGGGAAAAAATGGCTGGTGTGAGTTTTTTTAAGTGTAAACAGCTTAAACAGACAGCTAAACGTTCAATAGTTACTATTAGCAATATTATTTGCCGTTAACGACACGCTTAATTTCTCTATTTTAAAACAACATAATCGAGGATTCTGAGACCAGCTGTCAAAATTCATTCATTATCAGATTTACATTCCCATCAGCCCTCGCGTTGAGCTATATTACTTAGCAAGTAGCCACCATTTATTTGTCGAGGGATCTTCTTCAATGACCCAGGGCCATTATTCCTGTGTACGCCTCAAGCAAATTGAATAAGTAGTTTAGTACATGGCACTCGGACCAAACTTGTTTATTTTGAATTATTGTATAGGTCTTAATAAAAATTTGACTCCTATTAAAAAATAAAAAGTTCAGAATTGATGTAAACTGATAGGATACCTTCTTAATAACCGTCAACCGTTCAGACCCTAAAATTGAACCGTCGAAAGCCTTAAAATTTAACCCCTAACCGTCAAAACCGCAAAAATGAAACAATCGTCAACCGCTAGAACTACCTCCCCATTGAGATACTGTCACAAGATGTTATGAGTAACTAAAATTAGGAGTGTTTTGGAACAACCAAAATCAGGAGTGTTTGGGAACAGCTAAAATGAGGAGTGTTTGGAAACAACTAAAATTAGGAGTGTTTGGGGGTTTTTCAGTTATGCCTGTTAATTAGTTTATCTCGAAATCTTTATGCCAGTCTTGTGAGCCTTGGTTTGTCGTGTGCTGCAAGACCACACACTTATCTTTGCCTTTTGAGTGATTTGTCCTGACCGTTGTAGGAGGGCTTAATTCTCCCACGATAATCGTCATCGCTAGTCGTGTTTGGGTTTGCCCTTGACCTTGCTATAAGTCTTCAACGGGGAGTTTTGTTTACGTTTTAGTTCTCAAAGATTGGTTGTTTTTGAGTAATTTGTTGTTAATTTTGAATGTCTTGTGAGATTGTTTTAGTTAGCATTCTAAAAATATGTTTACTCCGCCAAGGTCAGTTGTTCCGTATGCCCAAACATGCCTATCGTAGGATATTTAAGAGAGAGAATTTAATTCGTGAGAACAGAGACAGAAATACATTTCCTGAACAGAGTCTTGTTGTCTCCCGTTTGCTGGAGTTGCCCAAGCTAGTTAACGCCAAACAATCCAGCAAAGAAAGTTATGCAACGAGGTAGGAGATCTCTTTTGCCACTACACAGTTTTGGGCGATAAATGAAATGTGATATATTTTACATTGGTTTTTTAAGTTTAAGTTTCACTTAATTTGTTCAAGAAACGGCACTGAGTACTTTTTAAATGTGCCCTTACACTAGGCTTGATATGTTCCGTATTTATTTCGATGCACAATTATCTACAAAATTTATTTTCCCTCAGATCGTGTTACTCTGAAGGAGATTAAAACATCTTTCATACCACTACGAACATTGGACAACTGCTTGATACTCAAGCAAGTAAATGTTTTGCAGTCAATTCATTATGAACATTTCATAAGTTTACACTTGTTTTCAGTTGTAGAGAAGTTGTAGGCTACAATTTGCATACAGACCAAAATTGCGGACAAAGCATAGAGGCACAAATTCAATAACATTAACGGCTTTAGGCCGGAACGTTTTCAACAGAAAAAATGAAATAAAGCAGGATCAGAGTAAATACTTTGAAAACATTACTCGATAATGAGAGTCTTTTGATCAAGACGTATTACAAAAAGAATAAAATATGATAAAATCGAAAGAAGAATAGATTAATTAAGTATTTAACCTCAGTAATCAAAACTCGTATCAGTTTAAATACCATATTTGTCGGTTCAGTGTGAAACCTGAAAAAATGGAGAATAAGTTGAAAAAAAGAGAACTTTTCTAACTCTCCATTTAGTTTAATGCCACATGTTGACGTTATTTTTTATTTATTTGTAAACAAACGCGTGGAAACAAGGAATCTGTTTGATATATTAATAAAAAATGACATTAATATGGTTATAGGAAGATCAGTAGTTGGAGATGCGTATATACGTATGATAGATGAGTATAATTACATGTGCTTTCTTTAAATAGAGCATTGGTAGCCTCCAGATACCTACTGGCTGAAGAGAAAACCTATCTCACAGTTCTGAGAAGGTCGGCAATAGTTACTGCAACTATGAATGAAACGAGGTGCTTTAGTCAAGAAGCCGGAAGGGTTGGAATCACGGTGGTATTCTGTTTGCAGCTTGTTGTTTCGTTGGTTGGAAATAGTTTTATTGCAATAGTTGTCTACAAGACGAAATCCCTGAGAAAACCCATTAACTTTTTAATCATAAACGTGGCTTCGCCGCCATTTTGCATTTTGTGACTCGCGCTACCTTAGTAGCTCCAGTCTACCGCTGGCCTCATGGTCATCTCAATGTTGAATGATAAGTACTTCATTTTGGCACATTTGAGAAGTTATGATAATTCTTCATTCAGGGAGGAGATCGTGTTGCCTCAAAACATCACATTTCAACCAAGGTCTTTTTCAGTAGGCTTACTCTGATAAATGTTTCTAGATGAAAATTTTTTCTACTGATCCCTGTAATGTTCTTCTAAGTTTTTCCAAATTCCAGTTGTTAACAACGACGGTAATAAAACTGGATTCACTTGACATCTATTGATCTCTACGTTCTGAAGCGTCAAGAATTTTGACGTTTAACAAACGTCTTGAAATAAGTTCATCACACATAACTCCGTAAATTGACGAGCAAAACGACTTCAAATATCGCCGGTTACGGCTTGTACCAATTAGGAGAATATTCAAGACGCCGTTTAATGCAAATAGCGCCATGATTATGGAATATCAGTT